ATAAACATCCAAGTAGTTGGGAGCAGAGAAGATGGTCATCACACTAGGGAAACCAGTCGTGCGTGTTTTGCGATACATTCTGTAACCTGCATCCTGGGCTTCATGAGCTCGAATGACAGAGAGCAGGTTATTCTTCTCCAGAAAGGCGCAGGCTGCAGGGTAGGAAAAGAAGTAGGAGCATCCTCGGACATGGTTGTGCAGGAAGTATTCACTTGTCTTCTCTTGGCCGAAGTCTTCAAGAGGATCAGCCCAAAGGATATCGCACATGAGACCTGAAGTCGGGGGCTCTCGGAAACGGTCAATCTAGACATGTTTGTTAGACCAAGTTGGCAGCAAGCTAGGGAGGGTTGGAGCTTACGTTGCGAATGTCATCAAGAGTATGAAGCTCAGGGCTAAGACCGCCATGAATGCAGAGGAATTGCTTGTTCATAACAGCGGCGAGGGGAAGGGAGCAAAAGGACTCGATGCACGCGTCGTATATGTTTTCAGAGTACTTGTGCTTGCATTCGAGTTTGAAGGTGAAATAGTCGGTCAAATGACGGCACTCGTGGTTTCCTCGTAGAAGCCACAGCGTCTTGGGGTAATGAATTTTGAGAGACCAAAGGTAGAGGACACACTCAATACTGAAGTAGCCTCTATCCACATAATCACCGAGGAAAAGGTATCGAGTCTCAGAAGGGTCGCCGCCAACTTCAAACAGCTTCATCAAATCGTAGTACTGGCCGTGGACATCACCACAAACAGTAATGGGGGCATCCATTTCTAGAAGATTGGGCTCGTTTCGCAGAACCTCGGTACCCTTGTGAATAATCCATAGGGCTTGTTCCTCCGTCAAACGGCCTTCTCGATAAAAGTGTTGCTTGAGAAAAGTGATGTTTGGCTTGGTTCGAGTCTCGTCTTCGAAAAATTGTTCATCGGTCGGGACGGACGTAGCTGGGGCTTGGACATCTACAGAAATGAAAAGCAGGCGGTCAGCATGACACATTTAATTGCGATTGAGTTGGGATCCTCAAAATTTTGCTGTGCAGGATTTAAGATCTCGCTTCCTCGCCATCAGAGTGGCTGAAGTGGGAAGCTGATATGGTGGGGTAATCAATCTGGAGAACCAACCTTTACAGACACGCTCCATAGTGTTCACCTGAGTGCCATCCTCCATAGTATGGATAGTAAAGTCGATCTCGGGAAGAGGCTTCTTCTCTTTGATCGCGCGAATAGCATTGTCGACCTGCAGCGCGCGGCGGTCCTCGCCGGAACCTGCCTCGCCTCCAGGCTCCATGTTTGTAGGTGCGGATGGGTTAAGGTCGGAGACGGAAGCGTGATGGAAGCAAAGAAGCAGATGAACCAGCAGAAGCTTTCTCTACTAGAGGATAGGTCGCGGTCAGGCAGCAAACTGGTTGTCGAGTCTATGTCGACAGAGGCCCAGCTTCGCAAAACCAGATATTGGGCTGCCGCAGGTAATATACGTCGGATTTTCGATGAGGTGAGAGTGGGAAATGGGCTGGGAGGAGGCACTGTGGCGGCGAACTGCCTAATAGTACATACAGGCAGGTACCATCCCACACACCCCCTTTGTCTGTAGTGCGGTCAGTCGGAGAGATATACCAAAACCCTACCACATCTCACCGCAGTTGCCCCCGTTTCCAGTTAGTGCCCCATGTCATTTTTCCCTTTGGAGGTGAGCTCATCGTGTCCAATTACCACATTTGTGGCGCAGGTCAATTCGGCTTCGGTACCTCTATGATAATGTGACCGTATCTTGCCTATTTCTATTACGAGCATCGACTTGATTGATTCGACTCCAAGGTCCAAGGGAAGATCCCGGCTCTCCCATTCAGATACGATTATCGCCCATGCCCAGTGGCCTCTCATCCACCAAACGGTGCAAAGCAGCGGCTTCTTCGTTCGGATAAGACCACCCCCACGGACAGACACGTCGCTCCTCCCATGGGCTATCAAGCGACGACGTACAAGTTCGTGCAATTCGGACCAGCTCTCCTACAGCCTCACAAATTTCGCCTCTAGACTATGCGAACCATCCAGCATTCGTCCGCCTACAGCACGTCAAAGAGTGTGTATCATGAGTGCCAGTGCACCAAAAAAATACATTGGGCTGGTGGGTGCCCCGCCTCACCGGTTGGATCGCTCGACAGGGGATATCTCATCTCCCCAGCTCACGAAGTGGGCGGGACATAAGCTAGGAATAAGGCCTTGGGTGCACCAAATTAAGCTGTGGCAGCCAGACGAATCATAGACTTCGCTATCATGGTGGGATGCGCCTACGACACCGTAAACAAGGAGATACTTGTGAAGCACACATTCCCCCCACCAGCCTTCTTCATCTTCTTCTGTTCCCCATGCTTCCCAGTCGCCATGTAGGTATAAGCATCGTGTTTCAGCTCTAAGACATTCCTGACTGGGACGGGCTAACATGTGTTTGTCAGCTCCTCTCTCAACATTCCTGGGGTTGGTGCAAGCGAAAACAGCAGCTCCACCTCAAACGGGTGCCAATCTCTATTGCTGACTTATTAATGAACCCGGTACTCATTCGTGAAACTAGTATTCATTCAAACACTTGTAGCCACTCGCCGAGGTTGATGGCTTAACATTTCCCATGTAATCCTTCCTATGGTATCTATAGACATGTCTCGCTGTATAACTTGTGCAATTCATTATTCCTTGGATTTCCAATTGCCCCCTCCAGCAATTTGCCCTTTTTTTTTTCGGTTATTATTATGGTAGGCAGTAGCCACCATCCACAACCAAGTCGAGCCCAGTGGTATACGAGGCAGCATCCGAGGCCAGGTAAAGGTATGCACCCTTGAGCTCTTGTACTTCGCCCTCACGTCTATAGAGCCACCGGATTAGCACTGTGTTTGGGGGAAGAAGAGGGGAAATAACACCTACCCCATGGGGGTTTTGTTCCTCCACTGGGTCTTAACATCAGGGGATGCAAAGCTCGAGATCTCCGTCTTGATGTATCCTGGAGAAACAGTGTTGACGCGGGCAAAGCCGGTCCATTCGACAGCGAGACTCTTGCCTGTGACAGATGTGATTAGCTGCCCAACATTTCTCTGGACTTTGGGGGGGATGAATCGCATACAAAAGTGGATAACAGCTGCCTTGGAGCCGTTGTAGACGGCCTGCAGCTGGGGAATGTTCACAATGCTACCACTCATGGAGGCGGTGGCAATGAAACTACCAGCAACAAAGTTGTTTAGAGGCTTGCCGTCAAGCGTAGTGCCCTCCTTCTTTTGCCGTCTAAAATGAGCCCCAGCAGTCTTGGCACACCACATCACGCCGTCAACGTTCACGGCCATGACCTTCTTAGCAGTCTCGGGGGACCCATCAATGAAAGGGCCATCCTCCCACGCAATACCAGAGTTGGCGACAAAGACATCGAGACGGCCGTTGAACTCGCTGACAATCTGGTTGATGGCGCTCTCAACAGCCTCAGCTGAGACGACATTCACCTGATAGGCCTTGCCTACGATAAATATGCGTTAGCACTGGCGGGTGGTGGCGTTTCAACGCGCAGGTCTAGGGCCACGATTAGCTGGCAACTTACACTTCACACCATAATTCTTTTCGATGTTGTCGGCTTCCACCAGGGCCTGCTTATTGCTGTTGTACCAGATGGCCACATTAGCGCCAGCCTCAGCCAGCCCTTGGGCGATTCCGAGGCCGATACCAGCACCAGCGCCCGACACAATCGCTGTGCGACCCAGCAAGGAGAAGAGAGGAATCACACGATCCCCCTTGGGCACCTCCATATTGTCCTGGAGGAACGCTCCGTTCTTCATGTCCACGGCCATTGTGGTGTTGTTAGCTGATAGCAGGTGACGTCTGATAGTCCGTTTGTTTTAACGGCGGCTTATGCCTAGTCACGGATGTCGCAGTGGAGAGATAAACGGGTTTCTTCGGCGGCAACAGAAATTAGGATTGGGAGGACACGAAGCTTTAAATACCTACAGACAGCGAGGCCATTACGGAGCTCCTCCCTACTACCTACGTCCTATCCCACATGATGGGTAGCGCCTCTACGAGTGGTACTTTGCCAGCTTTCCCATCTTGGACAAATGCGACATTTTTACCCGCGATAAACCACAGAAAAGGCTGCCTGAACTGGGGACCTGACGTAGTCGCGCCCTGCCTCGGGCGCGAAGTGACGACGGTGTGGAGCTCTGTTGGAGCATCGCATATGCTCCCCGCGATGGTTCCCTCTGCACTGGCGAGCCAGTCATCGCGTAGCGTCGGCAGCAATCCGGTGTCTTCTCCCACATATGCATGGACACCCACGGCTGGCGGAGCGCAATGCCATGCCATGCCACATTGCAGGGCGACCGTTGCCGCACGAGGGCACCGAGCTAAAACAGTAATTGCCTCTGCGGAGTAGAATGTACTACATACGATTGGAGGGTTTCTGTTTCAGCAATGCATCATTTGCGGCACACCTGCAAAAGAAAGTCTTGTCCCGATGAATTAAGCCGTGACTTCAGCTCAGCACCGAGTCATTCCTATCTCATGGCCGACAGCTTTATTATTGACGAATTGCATCCATCCGGCCGTTTCCCCTCTTCAGGCTTATTCCGCCTGCAAACACGTCACATCCAGCACATCTCGTCGGCGCAGTATCCATCAGGGTAGTGGAAGTGAGAGGTGATAAATGATAAGGGCAAGGAGGGCCGAAATAATTCTATCCTCCTACTGGAACTAGAATGGCTCACAAACCAATTTATCCGGGCCAATTGCTCCAGAGAATCGGCCGAGTTGTTGGCTGAAGAAAACCCCAGGCAGCAGTACTTATCGATTAGACGAGCACAGCAGTTGCCCAATCGACCCCTCATCAAGAAGCACCTTTGAATCCCAACGCGAAAGTAAATACGATGCATACAGTCGCTGTCAGCACTTCCGAGGTTGACGGGTACTCTCGGGTGAGTGGTCAATTCATCCTTGTTTCCCGGATCCCAGAAGCAATCAATCAGAATGCGACTTTCCGGTCTCTATCTATGCTGCCACATGTTGTGTAAGATCACATCTGTGCGATCGTAGTTAGACAGTTTCCAACGTGACACGAAGTCATCTCGGTTAACTGCACGCGTGAGACTGTCAGTTTACCGGCATTGAACCATTACCGGGCCGGAGTTGGTCTTGTGAAATGTCGCTGGAATGATTTCACTTACTGTAGGCGCCGCACATCCGTCGAAGCCCTTTAAACTCAGCCCTGCCATGGAGTATTCTCCAATTATCAAATACTATAGCGAGAGACCCATTAGCCTCTCCCTTTTCATGCCCATGCTCTTCCCAGTTGGAAGAGTGATACAACCTACCAAGAACTGTTCCAGGCTGGAGCTGGAACCAGCACTCGCTCTCTTTGCTTTTCAGAATAGAGTCCATCTCACGTGCTGCAGCGTACCATCTATCCACAACATCAAAACCGGCTTCGAGTGGGACAACACCACGGTCCGAGTTGTTCCAACGGATCCGGCGTATCGGACCGTCCAAACCACTTTCTGTTTCGATAACCGGATAGGTAGCATCTGGAGCAATGGCAACATCCTCGTTTCCACTTGCGTGCCAAGGAATCTTAACCTCGCAAAGTGTCTTGAAATATTCAGGATGCTTCTCACGCAGCTTTTCTGCGGCGTAGAACCCGTCGCAGAGCAGCGACTCTCCACCCAATGCATCGCTCGGTTCACCAGGTGGGGGGATATGAGAGAGCATATGGAAGGCCTGAAGCCCAGTCGGCTCCGTGAAATATGTCGTGTCCGTGTGGGCGCCGAGTGCGATGTTCGTGTACGCGGTATCAGCTTTAGCCAGGTCAGGTACGAAGTCGTAGAAACCTCCGTAATGTGTATTTCGGACAGGCCCAATCCTCTCGAGCAGCTCCTCCGTGGCTTCTGGGGTAACTGGGGTGTTTTTCACGAATCCCAGCCCGTAGTGGTGCTAAGGAATCAGATATGAGAAGTTCAGGCCCTTCTATGGCTGCTGTTGTCAGGGACTCACTCACAATTGCTGCCGTTAGCTTAGCCATTCCTGTGCCATTTTTATCCATGACGTCTTTGTAGTCAGTCTCTCTTGCCTCTGCCCATTTATTCCACGAGTTCGCACTCCAGCCCGGAGCCTTTGACGGTGCGGCATTCACCCCCTCTTGCCGAAAGGAGGGGACCATTGATTTCACCCAATTCCACGGATGGAAAGATACATGCTGATCCGACCCTGGGCGCATTAGATTCATATGAGAACGGTGGGTAAAAGGTCATTTTCGGCATACAGGTAACATGAAGACCATCTTGTTGGGTCTGGCTATGTTCTGCCTTGATATTACTGGGAATCTGTTCATATTCGTGTCAGTAGATCATTTTGCTTCGGTAGATCGAGGTTGCTAACATCAAATGTGTCGAGATCCTTCTGAAGAGTGTCTTTATTTACACACAATTGGCAGCGGCAGTTATCCCTATACCAAGTTCAATACTTTATGCACTACCTTGGGACCCACGAGATACATACCTCAGCCAAAATTGGGACCTAAGCTCTCTCAAATGTCAGATTTGTACCAAGAGCTCCCCAAGGCGAGTTCAAGAGACGTACACATCGATAGAATGTTCTGGCTGGCTATCCTTGGGGGGGAAGAGGAACCGCACTTTGTTCTTGTCCACCCGGACGTCCAATTGAAATGTTCTTGCGTGCAACAAATTAGGCCTATAAATTCGAGGCCGGCACCAAAAAGACCTGCCGTGAAAATGTCAGAGTTTGGGTGTTCATCATTTTTTGGGAAGAAACGGCACCTAGAGGCCAGTCGTGATGATGCCGTACGACCGAACATGGCTTGCGGCGATGTGGAGAGTGTAACAACCGTCGAGGGGCAAACCAGCACTGTGTTCAAAATTGAGTGTATATAGGTATTGTTTTATTCATGAGATTTATTTTGCACGTTCGCCTCAGAAGATGTATTTGAAGTTGACCTCGGTTCTTGCAACCGGGCGCTAGATACGTACACGTGATACGGCAAGCTCCAACTTGATCGTGTGGCCTTCTTGAAGGCTGTGAGTCCCAGCCGGAGATACCCACATCTAAGAACAGAAGTCGGCTTGTTTTCTCATTGATGCATCCCCCGCTTCCAACAAAAAGATCCCCTCATTTTGCTTGGCCCTATTATGCTGTCTCCCGGTATTACCCAAATCGAGGCTTCTCCATAATTTTACCATTTCCAGCAGTATTGCTTCTGAGCCGGTTGATAAGGCCAAAGATAGTACCAGGGTCTGTGAGACATAGCTAGACCAGCGAACGAGATATGTCATATATAAGGGACACTCCATAGGTAGTCAGGTATTCTAGGAAGCACAAGGCCAGCTCCTAAAATAACTCTGCCCAGGTGGTAAGCATCTGAGATGGCCCATATTAAAGTACTGTCGACAGGGTTGAATTGAATGGGAAGGCGCGGAAGCCTTGTGCTCGTCTGGGAAGGCCGGGCTAATAGTAAATCCGCTCACTGTACGTCAAATGCTGACTACGATAATGATAGGCAGACAGGCACACGCTACATTGCCACGCAGAGCTAGCAGGTATTCAGATTTAAACAGAGCTGTCCGTTCGCTTTGGTTCTCGCCTTCTTTCTAATTCGAAATATTATCAAATTGACTGTTGGAGAACTTGTCGGCTGGACTGCTCAGAAACAAACACCAAGCTGCGGCGCCTGAACGGCCATGGCAGCTCGTTCGAGTTGAAGCTCTGTCGAATTAACCGCCCCAGATAGTCGCACACGAGATCGCTCGACACCAGCATGTCTTCGCGCCAAGCAAACTACGATTCTTTATATTTCGATCGGCTCAGAGACAGTCGCCAGCCCCTCACCATCGAGATAATCTGGAAACGAGTCCAGCAACCCGATGGGATCATCTCCGTTCTGATCCTTTTCGGTTCGATCCTCTACCATCTCTATGGATCGCCAGATGCACTGGAATCGGGTATTAGGTGGCTTGGATCGTGTATATGGAATACGCTTGTTTACCTTACACCATCTCCCCTGATCAATTCCATTGACGGCTGGCACGGCTCGCTTCAAACACCCCGATCGATGCAGTCCTCACGATCAACGACCCATGCTGAGAAAAGCGCAACCATGCGGCGGCTCTTGGGCCTTGACCAGCAAGGCGGCATGATGGCCTCGGTATTCAAGGCCCGGACGCGTGCGCTCTCGATAACAGGCAACGCGCTCGGCTTGAAGGGCGAGGTGGAAAAGCCGCCTGGGCTTGGTAACCGGGATAATTCTTGCTTTCAGAACAGTATCCTCCAAGGCTTAGCCGCTTTGAATACCTTCCCAGACTACCTGACAAACTGCCTGAAATATGCTGGGGCCGCCCCCAAAAACACAAACGGAGCTGTGACCCAGACACTTCAGGAACTGCTGGCCGACCTGAACAGCGCTACGAACAACGGACGGACGCTCTGGACACCTAGCAAGCTCAAATTCATGAGCACATGGACACAGCAGGATGCCCAAGAATACTATTCCAAAATTTTGGACGATATTGATAAAGGCGCGGCGAAAGCGCTCCAAGCTTTCAAACCGCAACCAGGCCTAGAAACTCAGCCCAACAAGGATGATACGGCCTCAAGCGAACATAGCGATGACAGCGGCTATCAAAGCCTATCAAGCTCATCAAAGTCATCAGACTCGATAGCTTTGCGAAACCCATTGGAAGGTCTCCTTGCTCAGCGAGTTGCCTGTGTTCAGTGCGGCTACTCGGAGGGACTGTCTATGATCCCATTCAACTGTCTTACACTGAGTCTAGGGCTGGGTCGAAGGGAGCACGACCTCTACGAGCGCTTAGATGCCTACAGCGACATAGAATCAATTGAAGGCGTCGAGTGTGCCAAGTGCACTTTACTCAAGGCTCAACGGCTATTATCAAAACTCCTAGAGTCGTTGCGAGAAAAAGGAGCACCAGAGGCGCAGCTCACAGAACCTCTGCGGCGGTTACAGGCCATTGAGGAAGCACTTGAAGAGGATGATTTCGAGGAAAAGACTCTCACAGAGACATGCAAGATATCTCAGCGAGGAAAGGTGACAACTACCAAGACCAAGCAAGTTGTCGTTGCCCGCCCGCCGCAAAGTCTAGCTATCCACATCAATCGCTCCGTCTTTGACCCTTCAACTTTCAACACGATCAAGAATTCGGCTCCTGTCAAATTCCCAACTACTTTGGATATTGGACCTTGGTGTCTTGGCAGTGCTGACAATGACGAGGAACCCAACGGTTCTCAATGCGCAAACTCGGACAGTGGTCATGGCGACGAACAGTGGCAGATTGGTCCAACATCATCAATGGTTGCTGGTGATCTCAAACATTCCAAGTTGTCCGGGCCCATCTATGAGCTGAGGGCAGTAGTAACACATGCTGGAAGACATGAGAATGGGCATTACATCTGCTATCGCAAGTATCCGCGGATTTCACCACCATCGAGTCCCGTCATCAACGAGAAACAAGCAGATGGCGATGTGGAAGACCATGTGAACATCAACAGCCCTACGAACACGAATATCGACCCTGACACCGTTCATGATGCGAGCCAAATGGATTGGTGGAGATTGAGCGATCACAATGTGTCCAAGGTGGATGAAGACGTGGTCTCAAGCTTATCATCGGGAGTTTTCATGCTATTCTACGACTGCATTGACCCAAGCATGATTCTGTCCTCAGATTCGGACACGATGTCAACCAAATCATCAGAAGATGATGATAGTGGGGCAATAACTCCAACAGATGATTCAGGGGTAGCGGTCGAGGAGGAGCCAGACCCAGTTCCAGCCTTGGCGTCATCCGTGCCTCTGCCGGCCGAAGCCCAGGACCCAGTGAAGGAATCTTGAAATATTAGAATGGGACTGAGAAATCTGACTTGGTTCGTATTGTTATCGTGTACAATTTCCTTGTTTGCTACAATAGCGGCAGCAACAACTCAGTTCTGGGCATACATAGCGACGGTGTTGGGGTCTTCTTCTTTTTTTTCTTCTTTTTCTCAGTAACAAGCCGGCCCAAGAGTTCGGGTGGTGCAGTGTTCAGTGGGTACGATCAAATAGCTGGGTCGATAATGTTGACCACATTGTATAAAGCAACTCCACGGGCAAAATGATTGGAGGATGAGTCCCTCCGGGGCGTCCGGCGTAGATAGGGCGGCGATCGTTCATCAAAATCGGGATCGCGACTTTCCAGCCCCTTTTAATCAGGGTCCATTGTGGGTGCCCGGCTTCATATCGCAAATATCCCTAGACCGTGCTCTTTTGTCGCTTACCTCAATTGAGGATCTCAGCTGGAATATATACCTATCGTTGCGCAACGCTGATGAGGATAGAGACTGGGCCTTTTGTCCAATAGCACGCTGCCTTACAGTATGAATCCCTGCCAGGCCTTTACCGTGGGACCTAACAACAGTGGACCTGCTAGAGGTACCCTTGGCCACAAGGCGCGCTGCCAAGGTACTTTGGGTGTGATCTGACAAGTTACCGCTTGAAATAGTATCATCGCATCCTCCCAGGACGCTACCCAGTAATACATTCCTGCATAGTACCGGTACATAGCCCTCCTGCGAGCCAAGAGCAAGCAACACAGGGTCAGGGCTTTGCGATTGGCCGGCGATCCCAGCACGGAACCAATGTGGGAGACCGCCAAGGGGCAAGCCCGTACTCGCTGAGTTGCGCCTGTGGTTGCCTGTGGTTCGTGTAGACAGGCCGCTGCTCCATTCCCGTTACGAGAAATGCTCGCACAGGCTGCGTCTGACACTGAATGACACGACGCGTCATGAACAGGAGGTGGGCATTCGCTTCAGGAGGTGCATGCTGCTAGGTTTCCAATGATGCCTAGATAGCGCGCTTCACATGCGTGGTTCTGGCAGATGGCGCCGACCCGACAGCAAGAAGGAGGGCGAGAGAAGCAGCTAGTACCTTAGCTAGGGGAAATATATATTTCTGCAGGCTCCACGGGGTGCCAATGAACTGTCGGCATCGCGTGCCATCCAGCTGCTGAACTATTGGGCAAACTAGTAACACCTGTAAGGTAGCCCGTACTTGTACCTGTACGTGATATTACAATGCAGGTAGCGTGCAGATTGGGAGGTGGCATGGCATGGATGCAATCATAAGGCGGACTCCTTGGCGAGGAATGGGATGGGTCTGCTCCCGATTATGGAGCGGAAGAGGGGGCAATCGCCTGGCCGGACAGCTAATCAGCAGCGCTCGATCGTATCCGAAGATGGGAGCGCTGGTCGGGATTGGGCTGCTGGGCACTGGCTGGGGATCAACGGGACTCAGCGCCATTTGTGGCAGTGGGGGCTGATGGTCACTCAGTGGAAGGCCTGGACAGGTTTGAAGGTACGACTCGGGCGTAGTGCAGGGCCCGTGGGCGCGCATGTACCTGTACCTGGCCTCTAGCCCAGGGACCGCATTCAGCCCGCTTCTGACACCCGCTCGAAATTAGGTTTCAGAGGGGGAGGCCTCGTGAAAGGGCCCCAAAGTACACTTCCAGATTAACACCTTCTATCAGGCCAGCCCAGGCCAGGCCGGCCCAGAGTCCACCAACCCAAAAGCCTGCGGCCATCGCATTTCTGCCAGTGGCTTGCTTACTATTCTTACCTTAGCAATTTGCAGCCTCTCTTTGCGGAAGCTAAGACCCCTTGCTTCCTCTTCTTAAGTTTCCCGCTACCCCTTTCACGGTGGCTTTTTTTTTTCGCTGCGATCTGGATTTCCTCTCCCCTCGACGTCTCCTCTTCACCAATCTCACGGGGAGTGAACTCTGACACCTTGACTCAGTTCCTTCACCGTTGTTCACTCCTTTCTTCCTTCGTTTTTTTTTCTCGTTTCTATCATTACCTGCCGCCAGCCAAGGCGTCTAGCTATTCCTGCTTGTGGTGATTTGGGCCGAGGAGACCCATTAGCGAGCCAGCGACCGACCAACACACGCCTTCCGGGGACCAACAAAACCCAGTAATCGAATTGATACCACCACCCGCCATTTCGCAAACTTGCTCCTGTTCTGGTCCTGCAAAACACTCCATCACTGGCCAACATGTCGCCTCATTCGCGGGCGTCATCAAACAGCTCCGACCTGCCCATGGTCGAGACGGCGCAGCGAGCCCGCGCAGAGTCGCTCATTGCTGAGGAGGAGAGTTTGAAGCACAAGGAATCGCAGAGCAGCACGCTGTCGCTGCATCCTGCCTTTTACATCCTGTGAGCAGCATTCTTGCAAAGTTTCTCAAGAAATACAGAATCTCGAATTAGTATGCTGACCACCCTCGGGCGCGCAGGAGCTGGATTTTCTTCTCGAATTTCACGATTCTCTTCAACAAGTGGCTGATTGACAATGCCGGATTTCGTAAGTAGACCCTGGATTTTGCGGACGCCACCGTGATCCACCAGAATTCCAGTGTGGTTCTGAGAGCAAACCATGTTCGCTAACTTTTCTCTACAGCTTATCGTATGTGTTTCTTATCTCCTTTTTGGTGTAAATCGCTGGAAGCTCGAAAATCAACTTGACGTTTTACCCGGGTTGTTTTGACCATTTTTACTGACAACGCATAAACGTACAGCCATCATCCTGACCTGCTGGCATCTGGCTTTCGCTACCGCTGCCACTCAACTGCTCGCTCGTACCACCCCTTTGCTCGACAGCCGCAAGAACTTGCCCATCAATGGCCGATTCTTCGTTCGAACCATCATCCCCATTGGATTCCTCTACTCAGGATCCCTCGTCTGCTCCAATGTGGTCTACCTATATCTCTCCGTCTCTTTTATTCAGATGCTCAAGTCGGCCTCGCCCGTTGTCGTTCTCTTCTTCTCGTGGCTCTGGGGAATGGCCGACCCCACCATGACCCAGCTCTTCAACATCCTGCTCATCGTTTTCGGTGTAGGATTGGCTAGCTACGGAGAGGTTGGCTTCTCCTGGATTGGTTTCATGTTCCAGTGCGGTGGTATTGTTTTCGAGGCTATGCGACTCGTCCTCATCCAGATCATGCTGAGCTCCGAGGGTCTGAAGATGGACCCACTCGTCTCTCTCTACTACTATGCTCCTGTCTGCGCCATCATGAACTTCATTGTCGCTCTGGCCAGCGAGATTCCCAAGTTCCAGATCCAGCATGCCTGGGACGCAGGCCTGCTCATGCTGTTCCTGAACGCCCTTGTTGCTTTCATGCTCAACGTTGCCAGTGTTTGCTTGGTAAGTTTGCTCCACGAGCTCATACAGGTCTTCTTGCCTTCGATGCTAACGAACCCCAGATTGGCAAAACCTCGGGTCTGGTTATGACTCTCACCGGTATCTTCAAGAGCATTCTCCTGGTTATCGTATCTGTCATCATCTGGCAAACCCAGGTCTCTCTCCTCCAGGGCTTCGGCTACAGCATCGCCCTGTTCGGTCTCTGCTGGTACTCTCTGGGCAAGGAGCAGCTCCAGCAGTGCTACCAGCTCGTCACCTCGACCTCTCTCGGAAAGTCCGCCATGGCGCCCGAGCGCCGAAGGTGGATCATCCTCTTCGGCGTTCTCTGCTTCATCAGCATCATCACGGCGGTCGGGATCTGGAGGGGCCCCTCGGCCGTCAAGAAGGCCACCGACATGTTTCCTTCCTTGTTTGGTTCTGAGTAATGGGATAGGTCAGCACGGCGTTGGATGGCGTGTACACCTTCTAAGAATTATAGACATCGGGGCCTTGGAACTCCCTTTTTTCACACGGAATTATTTGATTATTCGCAGCCGAGGTGCTGCCGTCATGATATCCAAGACAGTTGTACGAAATCATCTTATTATTTTAAGCATTTCACATAAAATCAATCCATTTCGGTGTAATCCCTCATGATTAGTTTTTCCTATTACTATAGTTTAATAGATGAGCCACTCTTCAAACAAGGCACCCATACGACCAGATTCCACTCATGATGTTGTTGTTGATGTATTCCAGACATTCCATTAGCGCCGGCTCCTGCTTCGGCGACGGCTTGGTGTTCGCCGCCGGCTGCGAGATCTCTGCCGCCTCTCTGGTCGAGGAGACAGGCTCCTCTCTCGACGAGCCCGACGATCGCGCTCTTTGTCTCTATCGCGATCTCGTTCCCTGTCCCTGTCCCTGTCGCGATCCCTATCCCTATCTCGCTCTCTCTCCCTGTCACGATCCCTGTCCCTCTCGCGGGCTCGTTGATCACGTTCGCGCTCCCTGTCGCGGTCTCTATCACGTTCTCGATCTCGATCCCTATCCCGATCCCGTTCACGATCCCGGTCTCTGGGGTGGTCCCGATCACGGTTGCGGCTGCGGCTCCGTGTGCGGCTCCTACGACGCTCTCTGTCCGGCCGTCCACCAGGGACATATCTATCCGGGTCGACGCGAGGTCGATCGCCGGCCGGGGCGTCGTCGCGGCCGGGCTTGTCGCCCATGATGCCTGGGAATGGAATTCCTTTCTCGCGTGCGTCCTTCTGTGCAGCCAAGTAGGCCTTAGCTTCTTTTTCGCGCTTCTTGACTTCCTCGAGTTTCCATTCCTCCAGGTCTTCCTTGTCCCGGGCTGTACGCAAGCGGGGGACTGCTGAGGCAGGGCGTGATGAGGAACGTTCGCGCTTGTCACGCTCGCGTTCACGTTCCTTGTCTCTTTCCTTTTCTCTGTCCCTATCCCGGTCCCTATCCCGTTCTCTATCGCGGTCACGATCTCGGTCTCGTTCACGATCTCGGTCTCTATCTCTGTCCCGATCTCTGTCGCGGTCCCGGTCACGGTCACGGTCTCGATCTCGCTCACGGTCACGATCACGATCACGATCTCGCTCCCGGTCTCGATCTCTTTCACGATTGCGGCCCTGTTCGCGATCTCGTTCTCGGGCCTCGTCTCTGTCTCGGCCACGGCTTCTTTCCCGTGGCCTATCCGTATCAGCTGGACGCTCTCGGTATCGGTCCCGCTCACGGTCCCGCGGATCATAATGGTCGGCCTGAGCTCCAGACTGACTTGGCTCGCGTCTCGTTCTTGATCGTGTTCTCTCTCTTCTGGGCTGCGAACGAGAGCGAGCACGTTTGGGTGGTTCACGGTCTCGTCCTCGGCTGCGGTCACGATTGGTTTCCCGAGCGTCTCTAGTTCTCGAGTGGGACTTCTCGCGCCGATCAGCTTGTGTATGAGAAGCACTGGTACCTGGTCGTTCAACCTTGCTCCGAGATGAAACTGGCTCTGTACGATCATCTGGCCTCTCGTCTCTTCTTGTCCGGGATCGAGACCTATATCGTCGGGTCAATGAACGGCTCCGTTCACGCCTGTCTCGGACTCTGGAACGGCTTCGCTCCCGTCTGGGCGAGCGTGAGCGGCTTCCATGTCTCTCTCGTGCTCGGCTTCTCTCTCTGGGCGGCTTCTCACGAGCACCATCACGATCTCGAGTCCGGGACGTACTACGCCCGGCCCTTCGTGTACGCGACTCAGTCCTACGTGCTTCTCCAGGTGGCTTTTGGTCCTTTCCTTCGCCCTTCAAGCCACTATCGCTGGCTTTACGAGAAGAGGGATGCATAGGCGAGTCTCTCCGTATGGGATTGATTGCGGAAGCCGGACCGGTCCTCCTTGGCGGTGGTGCCAGGGCGGCATCAACCTCAAGCTCATGTTGCTTCCGAGCTGCCCGGCTACTCTCTCGGAGAAGATCAGCAAGAGCTTCCTCCTCAAGCCGCTCATTTTCTTCCTTTGAGAGCTTTTCTTTGAATTCCTTCGAGACCTCCTCCTTTTCTTTTAACCGGCTGCTTCTGTCGCGGTCACGGTCTCGGTCTCGGTCTCCATCATCCTGGCGATCTCTGTCTCGTGGGCGGTCATCTCGTCTGTCGCGGTCGCGGTCTCGGTCTCGCTGTCTGTTTTCTCGCTCAATATCTCGCTCCTTTTCTCTCTGCTCCCGTTCCATTTCACGCTTGCGTCGACGTTCGTCTCGTTCTTTTTGACGTTGCACCTCAGCCTCTTCGCGTTCCTTTTCGACCTTCTTGCGTTCTTCCGCTGCGATTCGTTTCTTCTCTTCCTCGATCTCAAGCTCCTTTCGTCTAAGCTCGTCCCGAATTTTCTGTCTCTCTTCCTTTCTCGCATTCGTGTCGGCGAGGTATTCGTCATCTGTCTTGGCACCACGCACTCGCTCATCCTCGGCAGGTTCGTCACCAATCTGGGCGCGACGCGACCCTCGAATGCTCTCCTCGATTTTTCCAACGTCAATCAGCTGTCCAAGAACACCCTCGGCTGTGTTGTAAATGCCTTTTCGCTCCAAGGCACCATCGATCAGTGCTGCACCTTTTCGTCGGTCGAGTGTGAGGAGCTGCTGAGGATTCCGCTCGACTTCCTGCTCGGCGACTTCGAGAATGGACTTGGTAATCTGCTTTTCGTAGTCCTGAAAATATTGGTTAGAATCCAAAGAAAGACAGCCATCCTGCGTAGCGGAAATCGGGCTTTAAGCTTACGCTGGCCGTGAAAGCCTCCCATGCCTGCCGTCGAATAGTGTCGTAATCACCTTCTCTCTTGAAGGTATGGGCCAATACTTCAATTGCGCTGCGAGTCGCCGAAGGCAGGGGCAACTCCGAGGCCTTGAACTTCCGTGACCCATTTACTTCATTTTGCGTTCCATTTGAAGAAGGTACATCACCGTTGACAGTCGCCATCGTGAAGGTGGTGGCAGAGTGGCAAGTGAGATCAGCTCCAGGGCGTAAACGAGATGGGCCGTGCAGATGTGTTGGGTTGCCCTAGGATGACATGAAATACTGTCAAGTCATCTTCAGGAACATGGCAATACTTGGGCTGATTGCAAGTGGATGATGGCACCTGGTGTTGATCGAGTAACTTTTTGGGAGATGGCACGAACAAATCCTGGAAAGATAATTGGGCGGTTGGTAAAGGTACGCCGCGTCAAACGCCAATTCACGTGATCAAGGGACTAACAAACAAAGTGTGTGAGATGAGATGGACATCACCTCTTGAAAAGTTAGAATAGAGAAGGAAATAAATTAAATTGCAGAGGGGAGAAAACTCTGCAATGGCGTACAGAAATTGTTTGTCATTTCCTCCCCGAGCATTATGCTGTGGTACAATGCTGCTGCAAAACGAACATCCGTAATTACCTTGCTGCAACCCAACTTTTGGGTGGATACCTACGTACTTCAGGTATCCAGTATCCGGCAATTGCTTCGGACCACGTCGGCTGTAGAAAACAGTGTTAGGGAATTGATAATCAGGAGAAAGTAGTCAAAGTCCCAATATCGTAGTGGTTGATTCATCACTCAGTGTAATCATGGGAAGATAAGAGCAAATAATCGGACACAATATATACTAAGTATCCAAATATAGGGCATGGACTGAGGTGCTATTGTTGACAAGGTGTCGAGAAGCATCAGGAGAAATAGAACAACCACCAAACTGTCTAGGATCATAATGTCAAGGATATCATACTGTCCTAATCATAAGGTCGTAGGGGAGAGATCCCAAACCGTAACGCCATGCCAAGCAATGCACTGTTTCCAACGAAAATTGATACAAGCAGAAGAAGCCCGTCCCTTAAAACTCACCGTCTCCTCCATTTCCGAATACGCTGGCAGTCCACAGACCAACCAATCCCCACCAGTTTACTTTCCATCCTCTCCAAAGCCCTTCAACTCCCTGGCCCTTTTGATATGCAGGCGTTCCTGACTTGAATTTTGCCTTGTTTCTCCTCGGAGGGGGAGCTTTGGCAACAACCTCTCGCTGGCCTTCCTCCCGAGCGATATGGTACATGGTGCCAAACACACCGTCATACTTGCCGACAGGCACGATTGTGTCGAGCTTCTGGTCCTTGGGGGAGAGAGTTTGCAAGTACTCGCTGCTTGAAAGAACAGCCATGTGGCCTCTGCGCAATGAGGTCTCGAGTGGCAGCTTCACAAAAATGGCGGCAGATGAAGCGCAGAATTTCACGAAAGAGAACGTTGTTGGTGATGCTTGGCTGTCAATCATAAAGCGAGTTCTCAATACAAGGGGTGTTGAAAGGGTGAGAATAGGGTGGATGAGCGAATGGAGCATGGTGGGGAGGAGAACCAAAGAATTGCAGAAATAAGAGGGGAGAGCTCGAAGTGTGGCCAGCGTCCGGCGCTGTCCACGGGAACTTGGTGTCATAACCAGTCTGCGTTAAAAGTTAGTTCTGCAAAGTAGTCGGGCTTGTCAATGCTGATGGACGAACCTTGTGCGCACCAAGTCGAGGGGCGCAAGAAGCACACCTGTTGCTACAGCTGCCGTCGCGGCGACAAAGAGGGAAGCCCATGGGTACGGTGATGCAATATCCACAAGGCGGTCAATATCCTCCTTCACACCCAAGTCCGGTACGTTGAAAATCGCGCTTAGAAAACTTCTGGACCAGTTTTCCAGGACGGACTGTAGAACCGTATATAAGAAGGTCGCATTGGTGCCCTTCCACACCCCCCAGACCCCCTCCTTCTGCCAAAGGGCAGAACAAACACCCATGAGAGAGTCTGGGCGGCGAATATCCAGATAATGCTCGGAAATAGTTGGTGTCTTCGATGTCTGACTTTTGGCTGGTGAAGCAGACCTATTGCGTTGCCGGCTCTTCGGGTGGAGCGGTGTAGGGGTTTCAGGCATGTTGGATGTGAAGAATGATTGTTCGTCACCTTCGGAATCAGATTCCACCATCTAGAAAAATTGTAAGTACACAAGTAAAGAGGAACAGAGAACTCCATGTAGGTCCCATCTCGGCGCACTTACATCGTAAATAGATCCTCCATGTACAGACGTCCTCTTTTTCACCAGATCGGTCCCTGTCGGTGAGGTGAGGGCTGCTTTCTCATCCTGGTCTCTGACCTGCAGAATTATTTTGGCGACCTCGAAAGGTTGCGCCATGAGGATCGACGAGTACTTCCATATCAGCTCGTCGATAAAGTCCTTCACATTCTGCACCACCGTAGGCGAAGTGTCGCCGAGATAGTCATTGTAATCGATGTCGGTCAGCACATCGCGGGCCTTTGACGCATAGTTCAGGCTTTTAGTCGCATTGCTAGTGCCGAATGGATTTGGAACTGGTGAGGAGATAACTTCGGGACGTTCCCCAATTGTCGGCGGTATATAATACGGCCTCAAGGGGTTGACTCCTTCTCTCGAGGTCGACATCCTGGGTCGGGGGGGTCTTGAAGCATTTGCTCAAGAACAGAAAAGCTGCGAGGTTGGCCGCACATCCGCCGTAATGATGAAATTGAAATCATGCGTGAACGACTGGCTCGGAGTTACCACGGTGGGCCACGGCCAATCCATTTGCCGGGCGATAACTCGCCTTATCGGAGCTACTGGGGTTAGGTCGTCGGCGGTATTGATTTGGAATGGACGTTTTTCAAAGGGCTGGTTTGTTGCGCCCATCGGACTAGCCCAAAATCTCCTCGACTCCTCCACGGACAATAATGTGTTAGGAGGATATTATTGCGATCGCGGTGTCAAGCATCTGGGACTCGACATTGCAGCTTTCCGGGCTTACGTTAATTGGCGAATTGGGCTCCTTCCCTGCCGTACCCCTCCAACTCGATAAACTCTACCCCAGAGAGATCCGAGCGAGATGGCTAGCTCACGATCGGTCACAAAGTGCCTCCCAAGGCTATCTTCGACGATATGCCGTCAGTCTCGACAGCTGCCCTCGCCCGCAAGAGCTCCGAGCAATCTTCTTCGCCCCTCCTCTTTATGTTCTCTGCCCAGTAGAAGTATCTCGCGCCTACAAACCTCGTCCCCATATACCCGATCTTTCACAACCACTGCACAGAGGCAGCATGGTCACATCAAACCTCCGAAGCCGGGCGAGGAGTTGGTCTACCTTCTTTGTAGAATTTTTTTGGAGCTTGCAAACTAATTATTTCCAAGGCTCTATGTCACTTTCATCGACAAGGATGGCCAAGACTACAAATTTGCCGTCTCCGAGGGCGATAACTTGCTTGATATTGCGCAAGCCAACGACTTAGAAATGGAGGGCGCTTGTGGAGGGTCATGCGCATGCTCTACGTGCCACGTCATTGTCACCGATGACGGATATTACGATAAGATTCCCGAACCGGAAGATGATGAGAATGACATGCTGGACCTGGCTTTCGGCTTGACGGAAACCAGCCGCCTTGGCTGCCAAGTGGTGATGAAGAAGGAATTGAACGGCTTGGTTGTTCGCTTACCCTCCATGACACGAAATCTGCAGGCCAGCGACTTCCAATAAATATCTGGATATATGGACGGCTGTATACAATCTTGTGAAATTATCATGACTCAACTCGGATATGTACAATAGTAACAAATAGATGGCAAAAGGCGCTGTTGGCGACATGTGAGAACTCGGGGTATCTTTCATCAGGACTCATGCTGAAGCCCTGAATATCCTATTCGGAAAATATTAAATCTGCACTAAGCTTCCTCCAAGGCAGTCTTCTTCAATCCCCCACCTCCCGATGCTATCAGGTCCAGGAAACCCTTTTTGCTCAGCTCGTTGACCTTTTCTTCTCTTTGGTTCATGCCGATAACACCTTGCTTCTTCACTCCCTTGTCTGCCTCCACAGCGGCGACCTGGGCCGCTCGGACGGCATTGAAAAGTTTGACAACACCTCTCTGGGCCACCTTGCGAAGTCTCCTCTCCGTCTCCATGATTTCGGATGTGGTTGTCTCGAACTCTCCCGTAGACTCATTTTTTGTAGCAACAAGAACGTCCTTCACACGGCCCTTCTCGAGGGCCTTCCTCTTCTGGTCGCGCATCTGTTTCCGAGCTTTCGCTTCTAATGCGTTGTCCAGGACTGCTTTTGAGGCTTCGACAGCATCTGTGCTACGAGCCAAAACGGGGTCTGCTCGTTTTGTCGTTGACAGTTTCGTAGACAGGATCTTAGACAACGACGTCGCAAATGCGGTTGGGTCATTCCTCTTGGATTTGGACTTTTTCTCCAGATTATCATCACCCTCAATCTCATACTCATCGTCCTCGTCACCAATGTCGGATGACTCTTCATCATCTTCTTCTTCTTCTTCCTCGTCCTCATCGCTGGACGGCGCATCCTTTGCCTTCTTGGCTGGTGGTTTCTGGGCTTTTTTGGTGTTCAGTGTCTTTTTTTCCCTCGTCGCAGGCTTCTCATCCTCGGAGCTGGATGCCTCTTCCTCTGCGTCCCCGACATCGTCCACCTTTGCATTGTGAATGTCGTCGTCGGAGTCGAGTAGGTTCACAGGATCAAAGTCACCAGTAGCCTCATCTTCTGACTCGCTGTGATATCGTTGCTTTCTTTTCTGTTTTTTATAGGGGCGCTGTGCTCGGCCATCAATTGACCGTTTTTTATTATAAGGTCCTGCCATGGCGGGCAGAGTTGTGTGTTTTCGAGATGGTGGTACTGACTGGATTGGTCGCGAAAAGTTGATGCAGATAAGAAAATATTTGGAATTTTGCCGCCGAAATTCCTGCATGGAGGGGCCGATAGGAAGGCGGTGTCGCGCAGCCGATTACCCTAGACCTTCATCCCCAACGCTTGAACCAAGGCTCTGAAAATTAAGTTTTCTAGGGTTTTTTTTTTTGGTGGTTTTTTTAAGAAAAAGGATATGAACTAGAATTGATTAAATTAAAAATACATGGCTTAGTCTATCGAGTCAGTAAGGGGGAGGGGTTGACGAAAAGAAAAGAAGAGGGAAAGTTGAGTCCTGTTCTCGAAAGCACTCGATGAGCACCTGGGACCCCCCAGATTTTAGATCGAATTAGTTCAGTGGAAAAACAGCTATATCATATCGTGTCTAGTAAAACATAAAAAGACCATAGCATCATCATATTTAAACTGGGCCATCACATGTGGAATTATGGACGCGGAATGAATCACCATAAATCCCAAAGTTGCAAAGCAACCTAAACCTATGTTCGTACTGCCTTTGGATAGACGACGCTTCAATACCATGGAAATGTTGCGCCAGCCTGTGGTCCACCCGATAACACCAAACAATTACGCCTGAAATTCAAAACAAAATCCCATGGCCGTGTGCCTCTAGAGGAGTCTAAACTTGGACCAGAAAGAAGAAAGAGCACTGTCGCTCTCGGGCACAGGTGGTGCCACGACAGTGGTATTCCACCGTTCCTTTCCGTCAATGAAAAGATGGTAGAGAAGAGAGCTTTCGCCGTCAGTGTTCTCAATTGTGAACGAACCGAACTTCGAGGTACCGGAAGGGATATACCTAAGTATCAATTATTAGTTGGGTGATAAATTCACCATGGACGTGGGGACTTACTCTAGCTTAACATCCTCGTCATCAGTCTGCTTGTATGTTGCAATGGGAGATGCGAACTGATTTAGAGGGCTTGTTGAAAATTCGTATACGGTAGCAGACTGGTTCCAACGCGAGCCAGGAGGAGGTGGGAACTTCGTAGCAGCAAACTCATGTCGGTCACCCGAGAGAAGAATGACGCCCGTACCTTGCTCGCCAGCGTCCCACATGGCTTCAAGGATCTTCTTTCGCTCAACCAGGAAACCACCCCAGGTGTCCTGGAGGTTAACAGGCCAATTTTTGGTGAATGGAATGGAGGTAGCGATGACCTTCCACCTGATTCCGTCAGGAGCAGGGCGAGCCAACCATGCCAGAAAATCCTCAAGCTGAGTTTGGCCCAGCATGGTTTTCTCCTCATCCTCATAAGGCAAGCTATTACTGGATCGATAACTACGCGTGTCCATCATAAAGAAGCTTGCAGGGCCTTGCTCAAACTCGTACCAGGTGGCATCTTGACGACGCTGGTTTGATGAGCCAGCCACGATGGCCTTGGGGGGGTTTTGATTTGCTTGATAATGGTGCCAAGGCTCGACGGCGGCATTATAAATACCAGTGTTGTTTGAAGACCAGTCGTTGGAAATCTCATGATCATCCAAAACGTGGATCCAGCTTAGGTTCTGCGCAACAGGAGCCCAATCAGGAGAAGCATAAACTTGACGGTACTGCATCCTGTACTCCTCGACGGATTTGCCAAACCGCTGGGGAACGTCGACGTATATAAAGTCGCCCAAGAATAGCATGAATTGGGCACCGAGCTCTGGAAGTTTGTCGGCCAGATGACGGAGACCCGGGATTGCGAGGGGGTGATCCAAGGGGCTATAGGGAAAGCGTGGGAGGATGCAAGAAGTAGACAGGAATGTAAACTTCCCATCGTTATAGGTAGGCATCTGACCTGGTTTTGGAGGCGCTAGAAACTCGCCAGAGTGATTATTCGATGTTCTCCACTCGTATCGTCGCTGCTGTGAGTGAGGCAAAGACACTACCAGCGTGCTGGCGAAGTCTGTTTCGTTGGTCGTTGCTGGGAGGACCCCCACGGTTTGCCACAGTACATTGTCAAAGGGAGGCTGGGGGTCCTTGATGTGAATTTCAAAGTAAACGGGCAATTGAGTCTGATCCGGCTCCCGAATGAGGAACTTCGCTTCCAAGTGCGACACATAGCCAAGTCTGACGAAAGACAGATCATCGACCGGGTAGAGCAATCTTGCCCGGTATAATGCATCGGCAACCAGCCCAATGAGAATCGCGTTTACCAGGAAGGTGAGTGTGGATGGCCAGAAACGAGCTGCGTTTGGCGCGCCAAAGACGATGATACTCCACGGCTTGACATCCTTCTCTTTGAGCACGACCTCTTCCTGCACCTTGACCTTAGCTACTACTGTGGCTTCCGACTCATCCGTGACTCCATTTTCAGACAGCAGAGGCGTCACTGTCTCAACGGTGGTCTCTTTCACGGTAACATTCACATTGTCTTCCAACACCTCGTATTCTGGCTTAGCAAAGTACGTAGCGAAGTAAGTTGGGATGTAGACAGCAAATAGCGCGAAAGCAATGGATGGAAAATGTGCCTGCTGGATGTAAGCTTATTTGTTTGTAGTTGAGACGGGACGACCTGTCTTAGAATCATCTGCATAACATACGGGGAACTGTAAAATAAGTTAGTGAAATCGCGTGAGACCAGGTGCCAGGATGTGGTGGGGGTAGTACCAATCTGAAGAACAGAATTGCAGATATCCTCAGGGCTGTTGAGGATATCTGGGCCAATCTTGCTTGAATGGCCATTGCGACAAGTTCATTTAACACGTGTGTGCATGCGAAGGAGAATCAGCTGGATTTAGAGGAGGAAAATACAAAGGGTCTGATGTTGCATGATTAGAGAGTGGTAAGCTTCAGACGCTCCTACGCGACTACAAGGGTCATAGTCATATATGGCTGAGCCGCGCCAGAGTAGGGAGCAGCCACATTCACGGTCGCACCTAACGCGCAAATGAGGTCATCTCCCATGAACACCCGTTGGAGATTTGGTGCCTATGATTGGACGCGTAAAGTGAGACGTGGATTGTTATCTTTAGCGTGCGTGGCACTAAACAATGGATTCTGGACCCCCTGGACCGGCAGTTCGAAAATCCGGCCCGAAGTATCGTGGCCCCTTGGCTCGGGGCCACTGTAGCATCTATTCTGGAGGATACTTGATGATTGCTTTGAATATCAAGCACGCGACATCCTCTTTCTCGCCGCCGCCAAGATGAGACTATCGACGATCTTCGCTGGGTTCGTCGCCTGCCTGTTGTCCGATGCCACAGCTACTGCATTGACATACCAGCTTTCTGCACACGAGAGGGCGTGCTTCTACGCTCAAACCAAGAAAGAGGGCGAGAAGGTGGCTTTCTACTTTGCTGTAAGTATTCATCCAAAAGACCTATTCTGGGGCTCCGCAGCAACAATGGAGGAAGAGCATCAACTGATTTGCCTGTTTTCTTTTCAACTATTAGGTCCAATCTGGTGGTGCTTTCGATGTCGATTATGCTGTCCAAGGCCCCGGCCACAGGGTCATCATGGAGGGAGAGAAGGAGCGCCAGGGTGACTTCGTCTTTACCGCAAACCAGGTCGGAGAATACTCATTCTGCTTCGACAATTCTATGAGTACCTTTGCCGATAAGTTTGTCGACTTCGAGATTTCTGTAAGACCAACAGCACACCCAGCCGAAGAAGTGTCCTCTAACAAACTTGCCTGGATAGGTCGAGGGCGAATCGAAAGCTCAGCTCCCCTCAAAGAAAGGATCTTCCCCTGAGCAAACGTCAATCCTGGAGGAGTCAGTCTTCAAGATCTCAGGCCAGCTCTCAACCATTTCGCGAAACCAAAAGTACTTCCGCACCCGCGAGAACCGAAACTTCAGCACTGTTCACAGCACGGAGAAGCGCATTGTCAATTTCAGCTTGATTCAAATCGCTTTGATTGTTGCAATGGGTGGTTTGCAAGTGTTTGTTGTCAGGTTCTTTTTCCAGGTTTGTTGATTCCCCCTTTAGTGATCGTGTAACAGGATACTGATAGTTTGTTCGTTAGGGCGCTCGCAAGGGATATGTTTGAAGGAATTATTATGTGCGACATCTTCATTATATGTGGCGCAGAGTCAGGAAAATAGGCTTGTATTGGGCATGTTGTATCGTATGGAAGCATGCGGATAATGATATTTGCTATGCATACTTAAGGTAGTGGGACAAATGTACGAGCGACCTAGGTTATGAGGCCACGGCCGGCGCCAGGGCGTATGTGTGTGAAGCATTTTTGGCGAAATTGCAGATGTGATGACCATTTTTCTATCTATAAGTGCAACGTCTCTTTATCCAGAACTGCCCGTGCAGTTTAATACTAGGAGAGATCACAGCTGCTTACACCAGAGAGCTCTGAGCTTGCTCTTTAAGGAGTACGAATAGGTAGTGTGGGGTGTCTTTAGCGGCTTGAGCTTCTTGATGTGGCACAAACAAATAAGTGGAGCATTGCTGTGGCTGGAAAAAAGAATTAGCCCAGGCCTCGAAGGCAGCCATCGCATCAACCTTCATTTCTCTTCACCACCAACTCTTACACAATGGCTTCGATCGCGGCATCGTTGCAAGCTTCGCTCCCGAAGCCGAAATACACCGGCGAAGATGAGGAGGCGCCTGCTCACACCAAGCAGCGCGGCGCTCGCATTGTTGGGGTTGGTCACCTGGACCACAACCAGATCGTCCTGAAGCGATCTGGCCCTCCGCCCTACGGACAGCGATCGGGATGGCGCCCGCGTACTCAGGAGGATTTTGGGGATGGAGGCGCGTTTCCAGAGGTCCCTATTGCCCAATACCCTCTGGACATGGGCAGAAAAGGCGAAACGAGTAACGCGTTGGCCGTGCGGGTAGATTCCGAGGGAAAGGTCAAATACGACGCAATCGCTAGGCAGGGCCATGACGACAAACGAATAATTCACACGTCTTTCAAAGATTTAATTCCCCTCCGACAACGCGCCGATGCTGGCGAGATCGACTTGGCGCGACCTGACAAGGAGGCTGTCGCGGCCACCACACAAAGAACGAAGGACGCTCTGGCAGTGCTCATCAGTGGTGCCGCTGCAGCCCAGAAGCCCAAGAATGTCAATGTTGGGCAGCGGAAAGAACCGACGTTTGTTCGATACACGCCGACGAACCACATGGGCGACAACTCTAAGAAACAAGACCGAATCATGAAGATTGTCGAGCGACAGAAGGATCCTATGGAGTTGGCCAAATTCAAACACAAGAAAATCCCTAGAGGGCCTCCCTCTCCACCACCGCCGATTATGCATTCGCCTCCACGGAAGTTGACCGCCGAAGACCAGGAAATGTGGAAAATCCCACCTCCCGTTTCAAACTGGAAGAACCCCAAGGGTTTCACGATTGCTCTGGATAAGCGACTGGCTGCTGATGGAAGGGGGTTGCAAGACATTGCTATCAACGACAAACACGCGCAATTCGCGGAATCGGTGAGAATGGCAGAACGCCACGCCCGAGAGGAAGTACAGCAACGATCCAAGATGCAGCAGAGACTCGCGGAGAAGGAGAAATTACAGAAAGAGGAGAACCTCCGATCCTTGGCTCAGCAGGCGCGCGAGGAACGAAACAAGGGTGGCCGTAAACGACAGTCCTCACGAGACTCGCGTGACTCGCGCGACTCGAGGGGTTCTCGGGATTCAAGATCACGATCCCGAAGCTACAGCGACTCGTACTCGGATGCCTCTGACAGTGAAGACTCGGAGGTCCGGGAACGTGAGAAGGCACGAAGGGAGCGACAGAAAGAGGAGGAGCGCAAACTTCGCCAGAACAGAATGGGTGCGGAGAGGCGCATGCAGGTCATGGCCCGGGAGCAGAACAGAGACATATCAGAGAAGATTGCTTTGGGTCTGGCAAAGCCTACGCAGTCCAAGGAAACGATGTACGACTCTAGGTTGTTCAACCAACAGAGCGGCTTCAACAGCGGCTTCAACGAGGATAACCATTATGATAAGCCGCTGTTTGCTGCGCAGGACGCTATCAGCAGCATCTACCGTCCCCGGGCGAACATGGACGAAGACGATGGTCCTGAAGCTGGCGATCGAGAGATGGCAAAGATTCAAAAAGCGAGCCGATTTGGAGAGGCCCTGGGCAAAGGCACCTTTAAGGGGGCAGGCGATGCTGAGGTAGGTTACGATATCCCTATACCTGGACATTTTTCATTAGCTAACAAACATGCGGTTCAGGCTCGTGAGGGACCAGTTCAATTTGAAAAAGAGGCTGCAGACCCTTTCAATGTGGACAAGTTCTTATCTGAAGTTGAGCAGACCACATCATCGAAGAGAGGGTATGGATTGCAGAGCGAAGGACGGCAACCCAAGCGTGCGCGAGTCGATGAAGATGATGATTAGGTATATATCCATCGGTCACAAGTGTTATAGCGTATTTCCCTTTATGGACTAATTGAAACCAGCTTATTAAAGCTCATTCTTCACGCGAGCGCAAGGTCGTATCGTGCGGCTCTCCAACGAACAATATCTGTGATGTAACGCGATTCAATCCAGGTTGCTCTACCTGGACAGTCACGACTGAGCTGGTATGGCCAGGCAGCCCTCCTATACGTGGAAAGTAGGAGGCCCTGTCCGCGGCTCAAAACCCGTATTGCCGAAATGTTACAGACTCAGGCACATAATCTAATATCAGGAACGAGGCAGCTATGCTCCCCCACAACAACAAAGGGGATAGTCAATGACATCCATGGCTCCGCCAATTCTACTCGGCAGTCAAGATCTTGCTCACTTCCGACAGACTAGGCTGGAACATGCGAGCCGTGTTCGCGGGGAGCTCGCTGGATGATTCCCCGACAACCGAAATTAAGTGCAAGCTTATCGTGGGGAACTGGGCTCAAGCAACGGCTAAATGGCAATGTCCCTGTATGCGGGGGTAATAATTGCGAAGCCGAAGAAAACATTCGGCCACATGCCATTGCACACATCCTTGTATCTCTACCCATTGCGAAAGCTGGAGGACTACTTTGGATTTTATTTTTTTGTGTTGACGGGGGGTGGAGTTGGGAAATGTTGGGAACATTTGGCTAAGAGATCTTGTATATTTAAGAGTTACGCCGACAGTGTATATACAACCCTTTCTCTGGAGTGTAAGAGGAACAATTTTGGATGATTCACACACCCGATTGTTGCTGTTGCTGCAGACTGGAATGATGTTTTCGAGGTCGTCACTTTTGTCGCTCCTTGTCTTGGGGCTCCAGGCGCCGCTTCAAGCGTTGGCGAAGCTGGATGCCAACGAAACAGACGGCCGATTCATCCTTGCCAACGACCGGTTTTATACCGCCATTGACAAGTCGATAGGATCTGTGGTGAGCCTCACTCTCGATGGGCAGGATTTGCTTGGTCCCAAGAGTGGCGCTACCGGCCAGGGGCCATACTTGAATTGCTACTGCATTCCCTCGGGTTTCTGGACGCCCGGCACCCAGAAGCCAAGCTATGAGCTGTACTCTGGCACTGACTCTACGGGAACCGCCTACGGTGGCGTCAAGATGTCCGATACTTACATCGCGACGGGCCAGGTCCTCGAGCAGTATTGGTTCCTCCGTGATGGCGAGACGGGCTTGCACACGTTCAGCCGGGTGGCGTATCACAACGAAACGACACCCTTCCTGCGGAATCTGCAAGAGCTGAGAACCATGTTCCGCCCGAACACTGATATCTGGACCCATCTCCTGACCAACAAGGGACATTATGCTCCTCTTCCTGGGTCTGAGG